GCTAATTATTTTGAAACATATTTTGAACATATGACTTAGTGTTAATGGGGAAATTAAGTATAATTTTTGTCTTATTCATTCCATTCTTGTACTTTGTGTTTAAAAACAGTTATTAAAAAACTTCAGAAGAGGGTTGGAAGCATGGCTCAGTTGGTAGAGCACTAGCCAATGAGTAAAAGGGGCAGGTACTATGTTGGAGTAACAATCTTGGACCTGAAAAAAGAGAGAAAGAATAAAAAGAAAAACACTTCAAAAGAAAATAACTACTTTTGCCTATATTAAATTTTTTTTGGGGGGGTCGGTAGTGGGGCCTGAACTCTGGGTCTGGGCGCTGCCCCTCAGTTCTTCAGTGCAAGACTAGCACTTTACCACTTGAGCCACTGTGCCACTTTCGGCTTTTTTCTTTCTGCTTATGTGGTGCTGAGGAATCGAACCCAGGGCCTCATGCATGCAAGGCAAGCACTCTACCACTGAGCCACCTTCCCAGCCCTTAAAAAATATTTTTAAAGCATTTATTTACAAGTACCCCAATTGTTTAATATTTTAATAGACTGTCTTAAATCTCTATAAAAAGGTATATAAGTTAGTATGGCACAAGTAATGAAAATATAAAGAGATATAATATATTCTATGTCATACTTTTCCCCTAGAAACTCCCATATCACATATAGTTCCTTAAGAATAATCACAATTAAGCCAGACACAAGTGGCTCCTGCTTGTAATCCTAGCTACTCAGGAGGCTAAGATCTGAAGATGGCAGTTCAAAGCCAAGCCAGCCAGCCAAATCCACGAGACTCTTACCTCCAATTGACCACCAACCCAGGCCATCTTGTGAGTGGACAAATACCTCATTTTGTGTACCTGTAACCCTCCAGGGATTAGAGGGTAGCATTTGCACCTAAGGGTTCTTCATTCTGTATTTTAACCAAAAATTACTGTCAGCAATAGAAATTTCACTGCCATGATACATCTTTATGATACATCTTCACCAACCATCATTTTCTGTATCTGTTAAACAGACCACCAAATCAGGTACAGATCCTTTCTCAATCAAGGCTGTCCACAGTTCTTTCACAGTAGGGCAGTTGTCTATGATCCATCCTCCATATTTTGGAGCACCAGGAAACCTGTCTTTGTTTTGTTCGATTACCTGTGAAGAATTGCACATTGACTATCACCATAGCTTGACAAGTCAAGAATTCTATCTTTGGAACTCTGGCTTTGAGAAAGAAAAAAGAGAGTACCTTAATTTTAAAAGAGAAACAATTTTAACATAATGCAATTTTAAGTTTTAAAAGTTAAGAATGAGAACCAAAGCCCGTTAATCACTAAACATAATAAGCTATTTTTGCTGTACATTACTTAGTATCATTGAAAGCAGAGGTTGAGTCTAAAGGTCTGTGGTGAGGCCCGAGTCTGTATGCATGTTTCTGGGAGAAGATACACGGACCAGTCCGAGAGTAGCAAGTTCCTACTCTAGCTTGAGTTTTCAGTGGCAACACCCTTTACCTTCTTCTGTTTTGCTTTTATCCTTCAGTGTAAGAGGAGAGTTACTGAGATGGTAACTAATAGAATAGGAAGGAACTGAGTCAAAGTTCATCCTGTAGGTATTTAGGGAGTTCCACTAAACTCACCCCTTCTCTCTCAATAACAATGGTTTCCACATCAATGGCCGTTAGCAATGTGGACCTGTGAATACACCAATTTTGAAGGCTGTAGGCAAGTTTGTGTACTATCAGGTGTCAATGAATATTTGAAATCAAAGAGGAAGAGATGTCAGAAATGCCATTAATAACACTTTGGCCTATCCAGAGTTACTTAATTTTTTTTTAATTCTTAGAGCTGGGATATGGCAGCAGAGGTCTGCAATGTCAGCTGTTCAGAACCCAGACTAGAAAGATTACTGTAAAGAGTCCTGTAAAAGTTATTGACACTCAAAAAAAATATGGCCCTTGCAGTGTCAGTTCACAGTATTTGGGACTGTTTCCCCTTTTGGCCTAAAATACTGAGTATCTGTCCACCATTTTCCCTAAGAACACACTATGTGTTCATGGTGTCTGGATGATATTTGTTAACCATGGAGCAAAATTTGTCTCACCCTGTAATTGATAAGCTCATAAATACAATAACTTTGCCACTGGCATCATATATACCATCTTTTGACATACTACACTAGATCAAAGATAATCACAGTCAATGAATTAATTTTAAAGATAATTACATCCCATAATTTCTTTATAATGGAAAATTTACTAAACTGCATCAGCAATTAGGTGTACTGGTATACTTCACCTATGATAATGTTGACTATTAAATGTTTATGCACTTGAAAAGCTATACATCTCATTATTGTAAAATAAGACTCTAAAATAATTATACATAGACTAGATGAATATTTTCTTAGTTTCTAAGTCAGTGATGAAAGTTAATATTCTAATATATATATATATATTTTTACCTCTTTGAGGACTTCACGTAAGATCTCAGCATATTTTTCATAAGGCTGTTCAAAATTCACATCCTTTATAAATTTTAGAGTGTCAGCTACTATGGCAACAACATCTGGATGATCTGCATTTATTTTTGCCAGTGAGTCTTCTGTTGAGACTAAAGCAAAACAACTTAATAAGTGAACAGTATTAATACTTGTAGTAGATGGTGCTATTTGCAATAAAATGTGATTGTTAATAACTGACCTGTAGAAAGTATTCTCTTACTGTTACTGTAGCACATGCTTGAAGAAAGGAGAGAAAATGTTCAGTCAGGAACCACAGAATCACAAACTAGCAGTGACTTGCAGCCAGGGGAGTACATGCACATAACAATATGCATGAGGCAAAAAGAAAGTCATGTCAGGCAAGACAAGAGACAAAACCAAGGAAGCCAGAGAGGATGTAGAGAGATCCCAAAGATTCCATAGTCAAGCTAAACACAAGCATCTAGGGACTGAGGCAGAAAACAAGATGCATACTTCCAGTTACAAATAGGAAACATGCAGATGAGATGGTAAAAGGACAGAAGACAGGCAAGTTGGAAGAGACTGGGAGAAAGGTGGTATGGGTTTGCTTGAGTTTTAAATGTGAATCTTTCTTAAATTTGGAGCAGAAGTATCTCCTTGGATGGCTGAGTTGGTTCTTAGGCTTCAGGATGATTGAAATGGCTCTCCTCTCCTGACTGACCACCTGGCTCCTATGTTTCTGCTTCTCAGATATTACCTCAAGGTTCCAACCACTAGTGTCTTTGAATCCAATTGATCTCAGCCCCAAAAACCTCCAAACAGCTTTCAAAGAGAAGCCCATTGCCTTCCTTGCCTTCAGGTGTCCTCAGGGATGGAAAGAGACACAGTTTCCAAGAACTAAAGTCAAGAAATCATAATCTTCCTGTAGATTGGAGCATGAATAGGCAAAGGTAACCAGGAAAATGTGCTAAATGTGAAGAATGATATGTCATTTGCAGGGTTATGAATGGACCTGGAAAAATTATGTTAAGTGGTGTAAGACAGGCTTGGAGAGAAAAATGGCACATGTTTTCTATCATATGTGAAAATTGTATTTAAATTATAAACAGACACGAAAAGGGTCACACTGCTTGAAGTATGGTAGTATGGTATACATGGGAGATTTGTAGAGTGTAACTCATAATTTAACAAAATGATAATCAGCAAGCCAAAACAAGTTTTCAGGTATGCGGGGGGGGGGCATAGGGAAAGGGGTTAGAGGCAGATGAACGGAGACAGAGAAGGTGGGTGAATACAGTCTAATATTCAATGTACATATGTGACAATGGAACCAGGTAACTTGATGGAATGTGTGCAGTTGGACAGAGAAGGGGAAAAAACAATGGAAGAGGTGACATTGACCAAGATGCATTGTACTAATAAGTTGATATATTAAATTGAAACCCTTTCATACAACTACTTAAAGATAATTTTTTTCAAAGAATTGAAGGGGGTTGGGACTCAAGATGGCGATGGGACAGTAGGGAAACACCACACTTCTCTCCAACCAAATAGAGAGTTCAAGTTCCAATGCTCAGTTTCCCCAACAGATCAACAATAGCAAAAAGGCAAACATCCAGAGAAATACAGAAAGTGAAAAAAGAAAAGGAAAAAACTTCAGAACCTATACAAAGATGGAAAATCACATAGACCCTTCCCTCACTGCTTGCTGGCAAGTCACTCTGAGCCAAGCCACCAAAGTGCCCGGCCCGTGGCCACTGGGGACTCCAGAGCCACAGTGGTCCATAGAAGGGCAGCACAGAACATGCCTAAGGCGTTGGACACAGACAAGGTAAATAAGAGACAGAGACCGTGAGACCCAGACTCAGA